TACTACTACTACTACTACTACTACTACTACTACTACTACTATTTCTATTATTATTACTACTACCGCGACTGCTACTATTACTACTACCACCACCACCATTATTATTTCTACGACTACTAGTGCCATTGCTATTTTTCATACATGAGATAGCACATATTGCATAGCATTCGCGATCTACGAATCATGCTTGTTACATATGCTACTACCAATACAGCTGGCGCTATTTGTGACCCAGACCCAAGACACCTTCGAAACGCCCCCTTGGAACAACAGATTTTGTCTGCGGCCATTGGACCACAAAATCTTGACACCAGAGGGTATCCGAGCCATTTCCAATACCAGAAATACCACACTTGTTTATTTCAAATGAGACTGTGCCCCACGGATTGTCCACGCGACCGGAACACCATATTTTTGCGAAACGCCCCCTTGACATAAGATGTTGTACTGCAGGCCCTGAGGCCAAGGGTTTTTGACCCCGACGGTGCCCTGGGAAACATCCTCGTACCGGAAATGACAAGTATAGTTTGTTTGTTCAGAAGAAGCAACACGAATTATTTAAGAGACGTAGAGAGGGGGAGGGAGGGAGAGGGACAGAGAGAGGAATAGAGAGAGAGAGAGAAAGGGAGAGCGAGAGAGAGAGGGAGAGTGAGAGAGCGAGAGACAGACACACAGCGCGAGGGGGAAGGGGAGGGGGGGAGGGAGGGAGGAAGGGAAGGAGGACGCATGCTACCACGAGTACTCCTGCCACCAATAGTAATGCCATGTCTCGCCGCGGCGAGCGGGACAATTTCCCCGGGGCCCAGAGAGGCCCGACCTCGGCTGTTGAACTCCGACGCATCTCCCTCGGCGCTCCGCTTGGCGCAGAGAGTAGCGCAAGTGTGTTTCGCCACAGACGCGACGAGGGCGTGTCCTTTCCATTGTGTTCCTCTCCTTCTTCCTCGTTGTGATGATGTGAGCGTCTCATCCCCCCCTCCTCCGAGGGAGCCTCCTCCGCCTCCTCTTCCAGCTGGCCGCCCCTGCGATGAAAAGTCTGTGGAGCGGGTCAACCCCTTCGACGTAAAGTCTTCGGGGTCAGCTGCGGACGACAATGAAGCTCCGACGTCGAATGGGTTCACGACGCCGAAACCGCCCGGAAAAGGTATGGCGGGCAGACGATTGCAGCACGGCCCCCTCTCGCTCAGTCACGGACCGCTTTCTCCAGCCGCACGACGGGAATTCGGCCTTAGTTTGGGGGTCCCACGCCTTGTGGAGGATATCCCACAGGGCCCTCCTCAAGATTTCGTCCTTGTGCGGCCGCAGGGCGTTCGTCCTAATTTTCTTATGCAACCGCTGCTAGAGCTCCTTCTGCATTGTGTAGGTCTTCGGAGGCGCCGCCACGCGTTCCATGAAGTACGGATGCTGGATGTGGTGCCAAGCGAATATGATGACGGCACATTCTGACTGGTATTTATGTTGCGTGAGTTCGGTGGCGCACCGTCCTCGCACGTGTTTCATGCAGACTTTCTTGGGCGTGTCCGTGTACATGGGCACTTGGCGCACGCGCGCACGGTGGTCCAGCAAGGCCACCCGCCCTTCCGCCAGGCAGTTTTCGAAGTCTCTCATCCACGCGGCACTGTGCGGGCTGAGTGATTCCCAGTGCTCCTTCGATGCAGACGTATGCGTCATGTGGTATATGGCGCTGCCCACCGAGGCCATGGTAGCGGCGCCATTTGGATCTATCCAGGAGTTGGCGGCGCCGCTGTCGGCGGAAGAGGCGCGCAAATCGACCTCCGCGGTGAGGTTCGCCTCCTGGCAGAGGGCCAGACGGGACGCGAGGTTTCGAAGGCCCGCGGGCGACGCTTTCTCATGAGCAAAGTTCCAGTCATTGGGCTTCATTGGCGTGGCCTTCATGGAAGTGTCATGCTGTCTTGAGGGAGGTTTTGGGTCGGCGGCCGCGCTGGGTGCTTCGTGAATTCGCTGAACCTTCGCTGGCGGCTGGCCGTCGCCCGGGAAAATTCACCAAAGAGAGGGTCATGCAAGTACCTCGCCAAGCGCTGCCTCCTGGCATGCTCGGCGTCTCGTTTATGCAGCAACCCACTGCACCTTGTTAGGAGCTCCTCAGGCCAGCAGTTCATCAGCTGTCGGTGGTAAGCATGGAATGCGCCGTGTACCAAGCCGTGTTCATCCGCACAAACCATCCAGGTTGACCTCGGCGCCCATCTCTAGCATTGATTTCTTGAGCTGCTCGCGCGGCGGTTGCAGGCGCATCTGGGCGCCATGACGGTGACCATACGTTTGACGGGGAGTCACCGGCGATCGCCCGCATTCACATATCGAATGGTCGAAGCCGGCATGAGCCAGGCTGGCTACAGTTCTTGATGATGATGATGAAGATGATGATGATGATGATGATGATGATGATGATGATGATGATGACGATGATGATGATGATGATGATGATGATGTTGTTGATGATGATGATGATGATGATGATGTTGGCGCCCCGCCTGCTCGCGCACCCCTGTCGCTTCAAGAAACTGCCACGCGCGCTACGCCCCGGAAGACCCCACCCCTTGCGCATTCCCATATGGTGTCAAGAAAGTGCCACGCCTGCCAATAGCGGCCGCGCTTAGGGCCCACCCCGTGCGCGCCCTTTCTATGGTGTCGAGAAAGTGCCACGTCTGCTGTGCCCTGGACGACGGGGGCGCATAGCAGCCGAGCTGAGGGACAACCCCCTGCGCACCCCCGTTGCTGTGTCGAGAAAGTGCCACGCTTCCTGTGCCCCAAACGACAAGGGCGCATAGCGGCCGCATTGAGGGACCACCCTCTATGCACCCCTCATGGTGTCGAGAAAGTGGCACGCTTGGCATGGCGTGGACGACCGTGGCGCATTGCGTCCTCGCTGCGCACTCCTTACGTTGTCGAGAAAGTGCCACGCTTGCTATGCCCTTGACGACCGGGGCGCGTAGCTGCCGCGCTGAGGGACAACCCCCTCGCGCACCCCTTATGGTGTCGAGAAAGTGCCATGCCTTCTGTGCCCTGGATGACAGAGACATGGCGGCCGCTCTGACTGACCACCCCCCTGCGCATCCCTTATGGTGTCGAGACAGTGCCACGTTTGCTATGCCCTGAACGACCAGGGCGCATAGAGGCCGCGCTGATGGACCCCCCCTGTGCACCGCGTATGGTGTCGAACTGATGGCACGCCTGCTGTGCCCTGGACGACCCGGGCGCATAGCGGCCGCGCTGAGGGACAACCCCCTGCGCACCCCCGTTGCTGTGTCGAGAAAGTGTCACGCCTGGTCTGCTTTGGACGAGGGGGGCGCGTAGCGGCCGCGTTGACGGACCACCCCCTGCGCACCCCTTGCGGTGTCGAGAAAATGCCACGACTGCTGTGCCCTGGACGACCGGGGCGCATAGAGGCCGCGCTGATGGACAACCACCTGCGCACCCCTTACGGTGTCGAGAAAGTACCACGCCTGCGCTGTGCCTGCGACGACGGGGGCGCATGGCGGCCGCGCTGAGGGACCACCACCTGCGCACCATCCATGGTGTCGAGAAAGTGACACGCTTGTTATGGCTTGGACGACCGTGGCGCATTTCGTCCTCGCTGAGGGACTACCTCCTGCGCACCCCCTATGTTGCCGAGCAAGTGCGACGCTTGTTATGCCCTGGATGACGGGGGCACGTAACGGCCGCGCGGAGGGACCACCCCTTGCGCACCCCCATGGTGTCCAGAAGATGCCACGCTTGCGAGATTCCCGACATTAATGCGTATAGACTCCACGCTGTGGGACCGCCTGTTGCGCACCCTCTGGGGTGTCGAGCGTGTCACGGATAGAGGCCGCGTTGAAGGACCACCTCCTGCGCACCCCTTTCTGGTGTCGAGAAAAACGACGCTCCTGCGTTACACGCTGCGAGCCCGAAACTGATATTCGGGGGATCGCCCCCAGCGCACCCGCATGTGGTTTCGAGGAGCTGCCACGCCTGCCACGCTTTGCGAGCACGAGGCGGGTATGGGGGACCACCTCGATTGCACACCATGTGGTGTCGAGAAAGTGCCACGCCTGCCATCCACTGCGACTCCTACACGTATGTCCCGCGTATGGCGTGCCATGTGTATGTGTACGAAGTGTGTCAGGCTGTATGTGGACGTGTGTCTCATATGCGTGCTCAGTACGCGGTGCATACGCCTTCGGTGTATGCTGCACTGATCTCGCCAGGTGCGCACTGGCGGTGTACGGCGTATGTGTACGGCGTATGTGTGGCGTGTGTGTGTGTGTGCGTGTGCGTGTGCGTGTGCGTGCGTGCGTGCGTGCGTGCGTGCGTGCGTGCGCGTGTGTGTGTGTGTGTTTTGTGTGTGTGCGTGTGTGTGTGTGTGTGTGTGTGTGTGTGCGTGTGCGTGTGCGTGTGTGTGTGTGTGTATGTGTGTGTGTGTGTGTGTGTCTGTGTGTGTGTCTGTGTGTGCGCGACGGTGTGCATGCGTGTGACTGTATGTAGACGCGTGGTTCATGTACGTGCAGTGCATGTGTTGTGCGCGCGTGACGGGGTGGAAAGAGGAGGACTGGAGACGGCGGGTGTGAGTGAAAAACGGTTGTGATGCGGGTGGGGAGGAAGCCCACGAAACATGTGGAAAAACCAGAAAGTTGTTTTGATTCCGCGAAGGCCGCCGACACATTGTCTCTCGGGCCTCTCTTGGGGCTCAATTGGGCCATCTTGGAGTCACCTTGAGGCCTCCAGAGCACATCGGAACCGAACTGGCGAGAGGACAACACACATTGAGTCTTTTGGTGCTGTAGTGATGTTGGGTTTTCGGGGGGTCTTTGGGAGGCTCCGTGATCACTTGGAAACTCTCTTGGGGCGCTATCTGGGCATGTTGCAGGCGTGTTGACCTCTAAACTGAGTCATCGTCGGCTGTATGGTGCTATCTCGGAAGCAATATTGGGGCCATCTTGGACGCTCTAACGACTCGCGCCCTCCCCTTGCCTTCCAGACCCAGGGGAGGATTTTTTGGGAGGGGTCAAAACACGTCTCCCTGTCGCAAGCTGTTTGGTTCACTCCCATCTGCTTTGCAAGCACATAAGTGGTATCCGAGTATCCGCATATCCAGCGGTCGTCTTTGGATGGGCAGTTATTAGGAACAATTCGCTACAGACCCCAGGTACGCGACGCTGGGGCGAAGTGCGCCACGAGTGCCAGGCGCGTCAGGCGCGCCAGGCGCTCCTGGGACCCAAGCGTGCTAGCCAAGCCAGATGCTCCACGTGCGCCAAGTTTGCCGCATGCTCCAGTCGCGCCAAGTGCTCCACGTCCTGGGCACGCGCAGAGCGTGCCAGGGGCGCCCGCGCACATCGGGAAACATGTCGGCCCCGACCATCCGCGTCGAACACCAGCACCAAGTCACGGCTGAGTGGCCATCATGATGTCTGACGGTGGGCTTGCTCACATCAGGCAATCTGCCAGCACCCCCGCCGTGTTTGTGAAACAACACTCGATTACCGCGGCTTGCCCGCGCAGAGCAGTCTTTCTTTATGTTGGACGGACGGTGGCCTGCGCACAGCAGGTCATATGTTGGAGCCCTCGCCCCCGCCGTCCCTGTCAAAAAACGAAGTGCTCGCGGGCTCTTCGAATGTGACCCAATTGCTTGCCGCAAAATTCAACTTGCATTGTTGTTTGACAGGGGTGATGGGTGGTGGTGGCGTTGTCTGGTTTGTCGCCAGTCGCGTGTGGGGGAGGGGTACATTAATATGGAGCAGTGATCAACCCTGCCCGATCAGGGAAACAAGGGTTTTGACCGTTATGCCGTCAGCGCTCTGAGGGCTGGTGGGATTTCGAGGGGAGTCCAGCCGTGGCCACCAAGAGCTTCTTGGAGGCCCCCAAGGCGGTGAACAAGCACGCCCAGCAGTCCCGAGCCTCGGAAGCTCGCAGGTCCCGGCTCGTCCCCGCCCCCCGCCCTCGCCGCCCAGGTCCCCGCACCTGGGCTCGACACGTACATCGCCGCGGGCTCCATGGACGCCGCGCGGGCCTCGGCGGGGGGCCTGCTCGCCCTGGTGGACGAGGCGCTGGGTCACGGGCCGCGCCGCGGGCTGGGGCTGTGCCGCCCCCCGGGCCACCACGCCGGCAGAGGGGGGGGTGCGAAGGAGCCCTCCGGGGCCCCGGCCTCTGGAGGTTCGAAGCCGTGGGGCGCGTGCCTGCGCTTCGTCCTGGGGCCTCCGGGAGGCTCCTCGTCGCCACCTTGAGCATCCGGCACCCACAGAAAAGAAAGGATAAGTTATGTTTAAGTTCTGCACCTTAACTTAAAATGAACTTACCTTAGAACGTACTTAAGTTACTTAGTTCGTACCTCAACTTAGACTTAGAACAAACTTAGAATTGCACTTAAAACGCACTTATTTTGCACTTAGTTTGCACTTAGTTTTTGGCCTGGTGTTGGGATGTTGTTTCGCAGTTAACGTTTGCGGGCACAGCCGCGAAGTTTGAGCTACGTCATGCCACGTCTGCTAATCAGCGTTATCTTTCCGATGTTTTTCGGCCCCTCGGTTTCTGGATTTCTGGTTGAAGGGCTTCGTTGGCCCATGGGCCCCTAGGATCCTGATGGGTCCCAGGGGCGCGCGCCTGGACTCCTTGGGTCTTGGATTCCTGGGTTCCTGTGCCCTGGTGGGAGAGCGAGGAGGAGGAGGAGGAGGAGGAGGAGGAGGAGCCATTGCCGTTTTGGCTCAAGCCATTCAGAGGGCATCTTCATCTGACGAGAAAGGATCCACTTTTTGGACGCGGCTTCTGATGAAGCGCCCAGCTGCGGCCAAGGCGATGCCCGCGGCGAAGCTCCGCAGGCCAGCTGCATGGCACGAGCAGGATAAAGACGAGGAGGACGACACCGACGAGGGGCCTCTGGTGAGCATCGCCGCCACGCGCGGCAAGGGCAAGAACACCCTCAAGGACGACGAGGACGCAGAGGACGGAGCAGCTGATTCCCGCACGACGACTCGTGCCCAGAGGCACACCTTCGCGAAGAATCGCCACCTCTTCGATCAGGCCTTGGTGGCCCAGTTCGACAAGCTGATGGACACAGCCAACAAGACCGTCGGCAAGCAGGCGCAGATCAACCAGATCATCAACAGCTGCGTCACGAGGAAGGCTGCTGGCGGTGTGGGTGTCTTGATCAAGGCACGCTCGGTGAAGCGCTTCCAGCGCAGCATGATGCGCGACGAGAACAAGGAGACGGCGCACGGCCTTGGATGGTGGAGTCTCGTCGGGACGAAGTTCGGCGGCTCGGAGTCCTTGGCGCAGAAAGCGCTCGACGCAGGGGAGGTCTACCAGGCAGAGGACACGGGGCTCTACTACCAGAAGTCCCACACCATCGAGCGGACGAGAGTCCAGGAGAAGGGCTACAAGGGCGAGGAGGACACGGGCGGCCTGCTCTCGACGGACGAGTTCGTGCAGGCGTTGTGCGACCAGGAGGAGCAGCTCACCGCGGAGCCTCTCGGCGACTGGTTCAAGCAGTGCCAGAAGGGGGTCCCCAAGAAGATCGCGGGGGCGCAGGCGGACGACGGCGACTTCACGGTCACGCGGGACTCCTACTCCTACTCGTACTCCTAGTGTTATCCCAACCCTACTGATACTCCTACTCTTACTCATGCCCCTACCCCCCCTCCTCCCACTCATAGTCCTGAGAGGGAGTGGGAGGAGAGGTAGGTGGGGGAAGGTGCAAGGGGGAATGAGTAGGAGTGGGAGTGGGTGCTACCCGCAGGAGAGCTTCGACGCGGTCTCGAGGGTGACTTTGGCCCTGCGCCGCTTGGGCACCAAGATGACGGCCGCCGAGGGCAACTCCGAGACCGCGAAGCTGATGTCTGGGAGGGCCATCAGCTTGTGCAAGGCCGTGGCGGGGCCTAGCGAGGCCATCGAGGGCCTCCTGGTGGCCCAGGGCGAGGCCAAGCGCAACACCTCGAAGGCGGACGTGGCGGAGGCTCTCAAAGCCATGAGCGTCCCGTACAAGCAGATGGTCGAGCTCTTCAATGAGATCGCGATCCAGGTGAAGTCCGCGGCCAAGGGCAGCAAGACCGCCGACGCGGCCAAGGGCTTGAAGCCGATCAAGCTTTAGGTCAGCGCTGAGGGCGCTTCGAAGAGAGTGAGAAGGATAGAAGGATGAGAAGGATAGAAGGATGATGTTTTCGTTTCAAAAAAATGTTTGGGTGTGTTTGGCGCAACCAGTGGGGCCGAGTCGATTTTGGCCCCCAGGGGCTGATTAAGGATTGAACCGAGCGAAACTACGTTTCGATTGAGCCGAGTGCTCGACGCGGCGCACGGCGCCCCGCGCGCAGGAGGCCGAGGCAGAATGGTTCGCCTCGTGCTACTCCTTTTTTCTTTCCTCTCAACCCCTGCTACTTATCCCCTCCTGACTCTGATTCTCGCACTCGTTCTGATCGCCCTCTCCCCGTCCTGCCGCTCGCCCCATCTCGGGGCCCCTCTGGCTGCCTGCCGTTCCCGCTCGGCGCGATTGCCGCGCCGCCCGGTCTCGCCCTCGTCTCGGGCAACAGAGCCCCGACCGAGCCCGCGAGAAGCGAGCGAGCCCAGCGATGGGCCCAGCAGAAAACATATGTAAAATCTTGTGCGCTGAAACAACTGGCCCCTGAAGGGAGCCCTGGGGCCCTGAAATCACGTGGCCCATGGGGCCCCGACAAGGGAACCTGGGGGCCACAAAGGAATCCTGGTGACCATGTCGCAGATATGTTGTAGATATGTTGTAGATTCGTTGTAGGTTTTGAAATCTACAACGAATCTACAACGCGATGGTGTAGATGCTTCGTAAATTTCAAAATCTACACCGAATCTACATCGCTCATCCTTGAACAGCTGTCTGTAAGGTTAGTCTCACGTGCGTTCAGAGTGTCACAGTTGTTCAGGGTCTGTCTGAAAGTCTGAATCGAAAGAGCGGGGCGGGGCGAAAAGGCCAACATTCGCACCCCTCCTTATCGTCGTAGCCGTTTTGGCTCAGCTGGCTTGCTTTGACGGGCCCTGAACTTTACAATGGGATCGAAACGCCCTCGCCAGGTTGCGAACCCAGATGATGCAGAATCCAACTACGTGTCTTGCTTGAAAGATTTCGCTGGCGGTAGATCCCTCGAGTCCGTGCTGCAGCCTTTGAACACAGATATCAATAGGTTGACACCTGTTCATGTGGTCAGATCGTATAAGCTGTTGGAGTCGTTGGTGAAAAAAGGAGTGTGTAATGGAGTTATATGGACGTCTCGGTTCATGATAGCTACAAAGGCAGTGTGCAGTGACGGAAGTGAGCTCACTGCGACGAACATCACCGATCACGTCAGGAATTGCTTCAGCATGGTTAGGCAGATCAAGTTGGACGAAACTTCGAGCGACGGTAAAACCCGTTCCAGGAAGTCGTCACCATTCCTGCGGCAGTGCGGGGCCGCCGACAGAATCGTGATCGACGCCCTCGTCGGAATGATGAAGCTCACGCAGCTGAGCGATGTACCCATCAAGACGCCCGATCCCAAGAAGCCTGTGGATTCGCCGCTATCAGGTTCGGCGCCGCCAACGTCCCCGACCCCGCGCGGCGCGGCTCTATCAGACAGCGGTTCGATGCGTGACTTGTTCAAGACAGGCTTGCGACAGGTCGAGGATATGGAGCGTGACTTGACCGATTGTTCAAGCTTGGCGTCGCTGGCGACAGTGCCGTCCACCATAGCTTACCCAGAGCACGCGGCGAAGTTCGATGAAGATGGGTATCCACAGATGCCACCGAGATCTGACATATCTGTGGTATCTCAGCCATCGTGTCGCTCTGTTGCACCGTCTCGTTCGATGAGCATGCAAGACTTCATCGACGGGCGCGAGATTCTCGACGCCCCCGATGTTGGCCCAGAGAAAACATCGAAGCCCGACAAATTCGACGGGCCACCAGACCCTTGCACGCAGCGCCGCAGGAAGGAAATTCTTCGCGTGCGCAAGGAGGCCAAGGCGACGCAGTCTATTACGGACCGCGCCAAGAAGCTTACGGTGCCAGATCCCAAGAAAAAAACAACCATCAAGACAACGGGCGACGACCCCCCCGAGGATCGCAAGCTCATCAATCCGAAGTTGGCGAAGACAAAGGATCCGGCCTTGTAAACGTGAGAGAGTTCTGGCAGAGGGAAGAGGGTGAAAGGAATCCCCGCCCTCCGATCCCCCCCCCCCCTTTTTTTTTTTTTTTTTTTTTTTTTTTTTTTATATACAAAAGAAAAAATATGTATATATTCATATATATATGTGAATATATACATTTTTTTTTTTTTTTAAAAAAAAAAAAAAAAAAAAAAAAAAAAAAAAAAAAAAAAAAAAAAAAAAAAAAAAAAAAAAAAAAAAAAAAAAAAAAAAAAAAAACGCAGCCCCCGCCGCCGCGACGGCGATGGGGGGGGGGGTGCGGAAGCCGAGGCCTTCTTCACCCTGCTCCCTCAGCCCGACACTCCCCCCCCCCCCCCCCGCCCCAAAACAAACTTCGCTCGAAGAGGTAAAATGAGGAGGAGGACGAGGACGAGAGGGACTGGATTGAGCGATTCCATAAGGACGGCCGCTTTGAGATCCCCGCGAAGGGTCTCCAGACGGGGAAGAGGATCCACGTGACTACGGTACTGAAATCAAAATACGGGGCGTCGGCTGATGCCGACATGGAAGCAGTTGCGAAGCACATGCAGGAGACGCAATGTTCGAAGGCCGAGGCTATTGCATTTCGAATCAGCCTCCGTTCCGCCTGAGATCGGGTTGCTTACCGCACTAGCTGGCGCCCGCTCGTGCAGGGGTTGCTGGGAGGCGCTTGCGCGTGCTTGGGGTTATGCGAAGCATTGCTGCGCACTACATCCGATGCTGTAGCGACTAGATACCGCGCCAAAGTGGAGCAAGGGAGAATTGTAAAAATGTATGTTTCATGTTATGTGTATGTAGCTCTTGATTCCAATTCTGTTCATTCCTCATAAGTTTATAAGAAAGGTTATCACACAAGTTATGTGCTTTACGTCGTCGCTAACATATTTTACGTCACGGCGTTGCGTTGCGTCGCCGATTGTGCAACGTTCGGTTACTTGTTTGCGCGATGGATTGCAGGGAAGTTACAGTGTTGTGATAATGTGTGAAATCGTATGTTGTAGATTCGTTGTAGATTTTGAAATCTACAACGAATCTACAACATGATGTTGTAGATTCGTTGTAGATTCCCACATCTACAACGAATCTACAACATCATGTTGTAGATTCGTTGTAGATTTCAAAATCTACAACGAATCTACAACATAGATTTTCACGTTTTAAGCACTTTTTCAACATTTCCATTTCAGTCAGTTTTTTTGTAATTGAGTTTCATCAGTTGTTTTTTTGTTGTCGAATCATCGTTCGTAATTTATTAACGTGTGTTTCCCCTCCGTAAACAAATTCGATCGCGCCCCGTCAGCGACCTCCACAGGGGCCTCGTGGGAAGCCAATTTTTTTGGATAGGATGTGGTATAATTTCGTAGGATTTATTTCGCGTTTAGACCACCCGCAATGTTTACGCCCACGTGAGGGGTTTCAAGATTGTATATTTCTTTTGAAATTGGGACCCTCTTGGGGCCCTCCTGGCCCCCTGCGGTCTACATCATCGATTTCGAAGTAACCGAACCCCGAAAGCTACGTTGTTGATTTTTTTTTTTGACAGATACCTCAAACCATTTGAAAAAGCATACCCTTTGATACATCATACCATTTGGACAGATACCTCAAACCAGTTGTTGATATTTTGACAGATAACCTTTATACGGCGTGTTCCAACACATCTTTCGGAACACATTTGTTTTTATATATTTATTTAGGGTTCTCGTCGCGAAGCAACCGCCCCTGCGAACATCCCGGGACCCCGTCCCTACATAATCCATACAACACTGATGTATTCGGGGCCTTTTCAAAAGACACACTGGGGGGAAAAACAAGATTCTAAAACAAAATACGAGGGCGGGCCCGAAACGATTTGACATCCACCGACACGCCAGAAACATCCAGCAACCACTGATTGCACCTCGAGGGCGTTCTTGATTGGCAGACTGGCAACCTGCATAACATGTAAAGGCATATGCATTACCCACACAACGGACACGGCCTCGCCACTCGCCCCTTGGGTTCGACGTCTGGGAGAGGGAGCGGCGCCCGACGCGGGCCCGAAAGTGATCGTTGTCGCACGAGGATCGAGGATCGAGGATCGCCCCTGGGTTTTCCAGACTTGCCCCTGATGGTGCTTTCTGATATTTTTTGGTCCTGGAATCCCTGGGCGGCCCCAGGGTCGCGGGGGGCTTTCGGCAGGTCCTCGGGGCGCCCTTTGGCGGAGCCCCGCGGCGCGCCGCGCCCGCTTGCCGTCGAGAGCGGGCGGGAGGGGAGGGGCTGTGCAGGCGCTCGATTTGGCTCGGTCGTTCAACAGGCTCGTGTCGGGGCCAAGCAAACGCAACACCCATGATCATCGCACGCCCGACCCCCTTCGAATCGGCAACTCCATCCATTGCAGCGTCGCTGGATCAGTAGCCGTTTTGGCTCACGCATTGCGCGCGCAATCTTGCGACACTCCGCCTCCATATAGACACCGTTCACGCGATGAAAAGATTGGGCGGTGGTAGACAGCAGCGCAAAAGGAAACTCGAAGAAATTGAGATATCCAGTAGTGCACAGCCCAGCGTCGATCCTGGGGCAGCAGGCAAGGCCGCCCTTTTAGATTCAGACCTCGCTAGGAAGTTGGTCATTAAGTGGGCCTGGGGGTTTATGAGTGCCGTTGAGATTCAGTCAATAGCGGCACGGGCGCACACCGACATGGTCGCACTTTGCAAAAGACTTGGTGTTCCAGAAAAGGCCGACGAAGCTGTGCCATCGTCTATTCGGCATCTTGCATCATTGGGCCATTGGGGCAAATACAAAGGTAATGTGTCCAGGGAGTTTCGCAATTGGATTGGCGAGCCCGCGTGCCCCCCTGCTCGCATATTCCACTCCTGGGTGAGAGTTCACAAACCCAGGGGGGCCGCAGTGCCTATTCGGCAGAGTGAGGTGAAGATTCTGGATGCGCACATGACATTCTCGTACCTTGTCAGGTATGACAGAGTGCGGTTCAACGAAAAGTTCTTGGGCCCAGACGGATCAGAAGAGACCTTGCACGCGTTCTGGATTGAGGTAGTTCGCCGACGTGACCCGCGGATACAGAATCACCCTATGTGCCTCGAGCCAGGTTGGACTAGAAGGTGCGTCCCGCTCGCCAGTCACGGCGACGCCGTGCCAGCGGTTCGGGTGGGGAAGCCTGGGTCGGAGAGCTTGGAATGCATATCTATACAATCTCTTCTAGCTAAGGGACCGACGTTGAAGGTCAAGTGTTTGTTGTGTTCGATGTTCGGGAACAACAAGGTTGCCAGCATCCCAGGCGTCCAAGACACGACAGAGACAATGTGGAAACACATCTGCTGGTCTTTGAAGGCGTTGTATGATGGGCGGTTTCCTGCAGCGGATTGGTCGGATGCCCCGTGGGACCCGCTCTCCAGCGAAGCAACCGCTGCAGGGCAACACTTGTGTTCTGAGGAGGAGGCGTTTTTCGGAGTGATCTGGTCCATAAAAGGAGACTTGGAATGGTACTTCAAGGGGTTAGGCCTCAAGAATTACAATCGGACTGACCCGTGTGAGTTCTGCCCGTGCGACAGAGCGCTGCCGAAAGCGATGTGGCCGACAAATTTCTCCCCCGCGGCAGCTTGGAAGGCGAGATTGCATACGGCGGCAGATTGGAGAGCTGGCAAGCCATCGCTTCACGCATTGCTCGCAGTGTTTCCATTTGTATCATTGAACAACTTAGAGTGCGACGAGTTACACATCCTGCACCTTGGAGTTTTACAGTATTATCTTGGCAGCATTCTGTGGTTGCTGACATATGATTGCCTCGGCGGAACACCGACCGAGAATTTCGAGCTGGCGTGGAAAATGATACTAGATGAGTACAGAGGTTCTCCGAGCGGCACAGAGTTCACAAACATGAGAATAACATCTTTCATCGACTCTGGCAAATGGAACGAAGCCTACCCAAGGTTAAAAGGGAAGGGCTGTGAGGTGAAGTCTCTTATTGTGCCTCTCCATATCATTTGGGGAAAGCTGAAAAAAAAAACAGGCCACTTTTACGATCAGGTTGCCAACCCGCTCGACGCAATGACTAAAATACAGTTCATTATAGATGATTACAGCAATGACGCGTTCATTCCAGATAATGAAGCGGCCTCCTGCTTGTCTGAGACTGATAAGTTCTGCCGGGTGTATTGTTGGCTCACGAACGCGAGCAAGGCTCGCGACCATCTGTTGTTCACTCCAGCGCCAAAACTACATTGGATGTGGCACATGAGCTACAGAGCAAAGTACTTGAGCGTCCGCAGGGGCGCGACGTTCATTGATGAGGATTTCGTTAAGCACATGAAAAAATCGGCGGCAAATCAGTGGCAGGCACAACCATGCACATGGTACCGAATGTGGTTGTCGAGAAGTATCGGTGGGGCATCAGCCTCGAGTGATAGCGCGTGCCCAGCACTTGGTTGGGCACGAGAAAACAACAGACCTCATCGTCACCATCATAATCATCGTCATCAGCATCATCATCATTATAATCATCAGCATAGTAATAATAATAATCATCATCATCATCATCGTCACCACCATCATCATCGCCACCATCATGCCCCCCCCCCCCTCCGTGGCCCTGTCGATCGACGAGGGCGCCGCGGCAGTGGCCAGGACAGCCGCCGCCCGCGCGACCCAGACGGGGCGGGGGGATGAGGAGGAGGTGGAAGAGGGGCAAGGGCGGCGGATAATACGAGCGCAAGGGGACGTGGGACGGGATGGGGGTGGATGACACGGATGAGGAAGGGGGGCGGAGGAAGGGCGACGGAGGAGGACCAGCGTGAGCGTTTTCGATCAAGACCCTGAACAGCTTGTTGTCGGCCGTGGTCCTGGGGCCGCCTGGGCCTTCGGGGGCCGAGCCTCCGTCCTGGCTGTGTTTGGGGTCTTCTGTTTGCTTTATTTTCAATGGTTTTAGGTGTTTTTTTTTGGCGCCCTCTGGGGGGCGTCCAGTGTGGAAAACACACACGACAATAAATAATGATGTGATCAATTTTCTGTTGAACTGATTTTCCGATTCTGGTTTGCTGGCTCTTCGTCCTGAGTCCCCCCTCCCCTCACTATTCGCACGGCTCGCGCCGACTCCGCCAGCCGATGTCCCCGCGCGGTTCGCGTCCGCGGCACTGGGCGCTCGTGGGGGCCCACATTGGGAGGGGGGGCCTTGGGGCCCAAAGACGACTCCACGCGGGCATCCAAAATAAAAAACGAGATGGCTTGTGGTATGCATTCGTGGGTTTTGGTTGGGTTCGGCTGGGGCAGTCCTGGGGCTTTCCTGAGCCGTCGCGTTTTTTCCTGAGGGCCTCTTGGGCCGTGCCCTGCGGGCTCCTTGGTTGTTCCCCAGGGACATGCCCGAAATTTCCTGGTCTCGATTCGGGCGTCAGCGATGCCCGCCCTCTGCTAGGCGGCCAGAGACAGCTCATGGGGGGCTCCGCAATGCCCCAAGATTGCCCCGAGAGAGCAACGAGAGGGGCCCAAGGAGGAGGAGGAGGAGGAGGAGAGGAGGAGGATTACTGAATTTATGGATCGCCAAGCACGGCAGCCTTCAATCGGGAAGCTGCCTTGTAGGAGAGCGTTCGGCAACCGCGGAAAACGACGGATAAATTATGTTTAAGAATCTATGGTAAGTTCAAATTCAGTTAAGTGATTTTCTCCCCCCCACAACGAATGTAGATACGTTCAAACTAAGATACGTGCAACAGAGCAGAGATTTCTGATTACACTCATCCATGTATCGAAAATTGTGCGGTGTTTCCAACAGCTGGTCGGCCTCGTATTGGATCGTCGCACGTTTCTTGCCTTAGGCCGCATTTAGCATGTACTTAAAATGCCCTGCCCTGTTGCACTTAACTTAGTTTGAACTCATATACCTTAGTTTTGCTGGCGGGTGCACCTTAGTTTCTTAGAACTTAACATAGTTTCGTAAACTTAATTTATCCTTTGTTTTCTGTGGGTGCCGGATGCTCAGGGCAGGGTTGGGGGCCCGTCGAGTTGTTCTGGCCGCAGCGCGCCCCGGGGCAGGTCTGGGGGTGGACTCCTCGACGCGGATCCAGCCTCCCCCACCCCCAGACCTGCGGTGTGGTTGGGGTCGGAGTTTGTTTGTTATTTTCGGCCAAGGGTCGGGAGCTTGGGACCCCGTACGCACAACAAAACACAGCGCATCGGATCTGCGGGACTTTGTGGTTGCTGGTCAGCACCCGAACGAGTCTGCCGTCGCCCCTGAGGCGGCCCAAGGGCGGCGGCGGACGCGTCGAGCGCGCGACCGCCCGGGGCGACGGCGGATTCGTTCGTTCGTTCATCATTCGTCGCCGCCTCTCGGTCTTGCCTGCGCCCTCACGCTCAAGCCGGCAAGTGTCTGCTTGCGATGCCACGCCGTCGCCGCCGCCAGGTGCGTGAGTTATCCTGGGTGTCGCTGCTGGCTGTCCTGCCACTGCGTCTTCCTGGAGAATCTTTCTGCGCTTATCCGAGGTGGTTCCCGCCGTAAGCTCCAGGGGGACCCGTTCAGAAAGCATACGCTGGCGCCCGTGCAAGGCATGCCCCTCGTTTTCGCTTTTCGGTTCCTCCTCCACAGAGATCAATCACCGCCACGGCCTGGGTCACCTCGGACTCCTGGCCAGAACGCACCCCGGGAGAGATCCAGGGATGAAGCACTTCCTCTCGTTCCCCTGCAGGCAGGGCGAGTTGCGCCGGGTTTTGCCTGCTGAACAACGTGGCGGTGGCCGCCGCCTACGCCTGCGCGGCGCACCCGGACAAGGTGCGGCGCGTGCTGATCTTCGACTGGGACGTGCATCACGGCCAGGGGACGCAGGAGATCTTCTGGGCGGACCCCCGGGTGCTGGTGTTCAGCGCGCACCGGCACGGTGTTGCCTTCTATCCGGGCACCGGCGACGCTGGCGAGGCTCGCCACATCCCCTCCTCGCCTTTGTCCTCCTCGTCCTCCTCCTCCTCCTCCTCCTCCTCCTCCTCCTCCTCCTCCTAAACAAGGGAATTCGGCATAGGGTTTACGCCGCGTTCGGCTCCAGGAGCACCAAAAGGAAAATGTCCGAGATGAAAAATTTGTCTCGGGGGAATTAAGAGGAGCGACAGGTAGTTAATGATGGTGATGCGTTTCAGGATTTCCAGGCATTGTTGTGTCCCGCGCGGCCACAGATATGAACGGCCGAGTGCGAATGACCGAGGTCCGCTTGGAACTTTGGAAATTCCAGGACGTGTCCTGAGCCAATCGCATCATGACGTGAGTCTCGTCCAAGAGGAGGCCAGGGCCCCAGGGCCCAGGACCTGTTCCCCTCAATCGGGAGGAGTCCTATCTCCCAAGGCCACGAGTCCAGGTCCGAAATGTGACCCGCACCCCCCCCTGTCGCTACAAAGCACTTCTCGTGGGGTGTATGGTATACTCGTGGTCGACCCGAGTTTACCGCAGTTGCTTTACGCTCGCGGCGTCAATTTGATTGCTTGGTGGTGGTATGTTTGCAGCGGGAGCTCACGTCAAGTTTCAGATTAGGTCCCGCCATTTTTCTGACGGCCCGTTTCCCCGATCTCTGCGTGGGCGGTGTGTATCAGAGAGAGGGGGGAGGTCCAGAACGGTCTCGCGATCGCTCCGGGGTTGCCGCAAAAGCTAGGAGGGGTAGTTGGTAGGGGGAGTAGTCGGTAGGAGAAGTTAGTTTTGGGAGTGAGTCAGTCGAGGAAGAGCAAAGGTAGATGGAATTCTAGACGCCTCGCGTATCCCCACCAGCCCGTCCAGAAACGACGCCCAGGCGAGTAGAGGGTCGTCCTGAGGGGCTTTTCGGCGTCTTGGGTGCCTCGGGGGGGCCTCTGTGGGCCGTTCGGGATCCTCTTTGGGGCCTCCTGGGGGCGTCTTCGGGCCTCTTGGGGCCATCTTGGGGCCTTTGGGGGCCTCCTGGGCGCTTCTTGGGGCCATCTTTGCCCCCTCAGGAGGCCAAAATGGGGCCACAATCTTAGTAAAATCAATGATTTTGGCTTCCTCGCCGAGGCCGTTTTGGACGCTCTGACCGCTCGCGGCCCGCCCCGTCCAGGTCCACGGGGAGGGGGTAGGGGGAGGGGTAAATCCCTCCCCGAAGGGAAAGAGGGAGGGGTGGAAGAGGAAACGCCTTAAACCACCGACGCCCAGAGGGCTGGTGGGATTGCCTCGATCAGGGAAGTGGACAGCACACAGAGGAAGCCAGTATGAGACATCTTGGAATTTCTTGAGCCATCTTGGAGGTCATTTTGGGCTCTCCGAGGCGCTCTTGGAGTCATCTTAATCAGTGCCCCCCCCCAAGAGGCCAACATGTGGCTAAAACCTTAGTGCAAACAATGGTTTGACATTATCGCCGAGGCCTCTGGGAGCACCTTGGGTGCCTCTGGGGGGTCTCTTGGGGCCTCTTGGGGGTCTCTTGGGGGCCTCCTGGGGGCCTCTTGGGGGGCCTCTTGGGGCCATCTTGGGGCCATCCTGCGGCCTCTTGGGGCATCCTGGGGGCCTCTTGCGGCCATCGTGGAGGAAATCGATCAAAGAAGAGGGGAGCTTTAATTAGCCCTGCCCCCTCAGAAGGCCAAAATGGGGCCAAAACCATAGTAAAATCAATGATTTGGGCTTCCTCGCCGAGGCCGTTTTGGACGCTCTGACCGCTCCCCGCCCCTCCTGTCCAGGTCAGTGGGGAGGGGGTAGGGGGAGGGGTAAACCCCTCCCCGAAGGGGAAGAGGGAGGGGTGGAAGAGGAAACGCCCTAAACCACCGACGCCCAGAGGGCTGGTGGGATTTGTACGGCAGCTCCGGGTCGTGCCGATGCGGCGGCGAACTCAACGACGCGGGCCTTCAAGGTTGAAAGCCGCCAGTGGCCCAAAATTGCCCCCAACAGGGAACGATCGGGCGATCGAAAGGCCATCAAGGTTGAACGATCCAGGCGGTGTTAGAAACCTGCACCAGAGTCGTTTCGACGCGGCTCCCACGCAGCGCACCCCCTCCCAGAGGTCGGCGAGGGCCCCGGGCTCGGCTTCACGGTCAACGCGCCCCTCCCCGCTGGCTACGGCGACGGTTGCTTGTGGGCCGTGTGTGCCGAGCTCGGCGGGGCGCACTAGGGGGTGTCGCGAGGGGGGGCGGCCTGCGATTGGGAGGGAACGGAACAAAGGAAGGAGAGGTACCGATAGCGCTACCTGGTCCTCGTCACCACGGTCAGAACCACCAGAGAGGGTCTTGCAGCAGCAGTATCGGTATCTTGTTGTCCCCCAATCAGTGGCACGCCGCCGTCGGGAGTCCCTGAGCGTGTTTCTCCTTTGCTTCTGCCAGAAGGCCTGGTGCGTGCCTCTTCTCACCAGAGGGGACAGAAGCACTACCACCAGCTCGGGGGGTGGCCTTTCAGAAAGAGCTCAATGGAGTTCTGGTGGTGGCTCTTCTGGCTTTCATGATCTTCAAGAATTATGCGCTAATTGGTTCCCTACGGCGACGCGTCATTCATATTGTTTTGCTCCCACGTTCGAAGGAAGCGGAAGAGGGCTTCTGAGAAGGCGGGCGCCTTCGTAGAGCTCCCCCCGAAGCCCTCTCAGAAGCCTCCGGGTCTATGGTGATTTTTGTCGCAGCGCGATCTCCCAGAGATTTGGACACTTTCCCCAGCGCTGGCTTTTCATCCTGAGTCCTTGTTTGACGGTCCTAGGGCCGATTAAGGGATCCCGAATGGTCGAAGATTTTCTGTCGTGTTTTCTTCCGCCATTCGAGGGAGTCTGAGAAGAAGTCCCCTGCCTTCTCTGAAGCTCCCCGCCTTCTTTTACAGTAAGTTCGTGTCGTGTCGGCGCGGTTGCGACTTCAGCGCGGGCGTCCTGGGTTGAACGCCGCCATCATCCCAGACTTCGCCAATATGGAACGATCCAGCGATCGAAAGGCCGCCGACCGTGCACGGTTGAACGATCAACGCGGTGTCGGAAACTGACGCCGGGGTCGTCACGACACGAGCCTTGCCGTAAAAGGCCCCCCCCCCCAAACCCCCTCCCCCGCGCCACCCCCCCGCGTGCGCGCCGCCACCGAGCTCCTGCTGCCAGCCGCCAGGCGCTTCAGGCCGGACCTGATCCTCGTGAGCGCCGGCTTCGACGCTGTCGCGGGCGACCCGCTGGGCGGCTGCGCGTGCACGCCACGTGGCTTCGGTGCCTCGGGCCCCGTGCGCAAAGTCCGAGACCTCCAGCGTGCTGAAAGGTCGGGCCCGCCCCCCCCGGTGACCTGGGGAGACATCGAGACAGCCACGGTCAAGCTGCCTCTGGCGGCACGCACAGGGGGGCAGGGCGGGGGGGGGCGCCCCTTCCAAGAAGGCTTGGGGGATGGGTCTTCCTATGCAGGCCCTCCCGGCTTTCAACAAGCCCTCTGAAAAGCACCCGAGCCTTGCAGAGAAGGCCCTTGCCTTCCAAGGAGCCCCCCGCTTTCTCAGAAGCATCCACTGGTGTGCGCCGCCGACGAGATCGCTTGCACGGAGGTTACCCGCCGTTCTCGGCCTTCAGTGGCCCCCCAGTGACTTCATACAGCGACTCAGGTCGTGGTCGGGACTATTGTAAGGGGGGGGGCGTATTTAAGCACAAGACATCGGATATCTGGGATAGAACCCCCGTCAAGCCGATCAGGAAATCCGCCCGGGCGGCCTCTTTAGTTGGCTTTTGGAGGGGGTGATGCAGCCGCCGTTTTGCAGCCTGCGCCCGCCAGGTCTGGTCCCCAGGCTGTTTTCGTTGAAAAGTGTTTTGTCAAAGGGGGTTCTATTCGCCCCCGAGTGTCGGAAAAGTCCAGGTGAATTTGTTTATCCTTCCTGAAATGTGGGCGTCGCAATTCTTCCACTTCGGATGTTCTCAACAGGTTTCGGGCCCTGAGACCCTCGCTGACCGATCCAGCTTTCAGTTGTTGGGCGCCTCCGGGTCTTTCATATTATCATGTTAGCAGCCCGAAGTGGTTCTCGGGGTACGGGTCTTCACGAAACGGCCTTGGGGAAGCGGTCAAGCAGTCGGGATGTTGAGGGATTCCGCATTCAAAATTGAAAATGTCGGATCTCTGGACGCAAGGGTTGTCAATGTGGTCTCGCGAGGGGATGGGCCTTCTAAGAAGACAGGGGGTTTCTTAGAGGTCAGGAGGCTCCTTAGAATGGCCCCGCCTTTTCGCGCTACCAGAAGGGGGTGGGTCGCGCCGTGGGGGATTTCCAAGAACCTGGCGTCGCTCGGACTTCTGGACCCTGTGAGTTTTTTTGTGCGTCTCTTTGCATCCACCCGCTCAACTTGGATCCGTGTAGGCCGCCGCTTGTGTACGGAGCTGTGAGAAACTCGATCGACTCAAACCACCCCCCCGGTCACAAAGAAGGCGCACACGGAAACCGCGCCCACATGAGGGCACGGTAATCCACGACGACAAATGTTCGGAGGTTTGTGCGGATACCTGAGATCTGCATTGGACCCCTTCTTGGCGCGATCCGTGCGCCAGGGAGGGGTCCAAAGGTCCAGTGCCGATCCAAGGGACCCGCGCGGAACTCCGAAAGTGTAATGCGTGTTTCCACTGATCTTAGAATGATGTTCTTGCTATTTCCACTTCCCTGAGGTTCGGTTATTGTAATTATCCGTAAAGGCTTCGCCCCCTGCCGCCGGCCCCCTCTCTCGGAGAATGGGCCATGGAAGAGCTAAGTCATGAGGCCTTGGCGCTGTCGTGAAGCAGTATCGAAACTTCATGCGAAGCCGATTCGCAATCAGCAAAACCAACTGATCACAAGAGGGGTTACCACACCTGGCGATTGGTAAGACGTGTATGGTTTACGGGCTTGGTTACCACACCTTGCGATTAAAGGGCCGAGGGAGTTCTCGCAGTTTGGGTTACCACGCCTTGCGATGGATGTGCGTGAAGGGTGGCACCGAA